CAACGAGAAACAAAACATTGATTTAAAAAAACAAGATATATTTTTTTTATTAAAAAAAAAAAAAAAAAAAAAAAAAAAAAAAAAAGGTTAAAATATAATTAAAAGCCCAAAATGTTTATGACATTCATGCCTCTAAAAAGTGCATGCAAACTTATGACCAGAGCTGTACCTTGCTAAGTAATTTTCCTAATTTGTGCTAGACGTTTAGGGGACCATCACAATAAAAAGCACCTCTAAACAATGGCTTGTTTTTAATCACATAACAGAAATTGAATTAGCTGGTAAAACGCTCTAATTGCTGTTATATTATCAACATTATGCCGAAGAGTTGTCTAGCATATAATTATTTTTCTAATTCTGCTGCTGCAAATATCCTACTTCTATATAAATCAAAATAAACATTATGGTGCAGTTATGATTTGGACACCTTGTTCGAAGACGAGCCTTCAGATCTTTTCTGTCGTCCTCTGACTTGTCTGTAATTGAGCAATTCTCATCGTCCTCTTTGTCTTCTCGCTTGATAGCTGTGCCGCCGGAACGATTCCCGCTTCCGGGCAGGCCTGCGCGCACACACACACACAACAATAAGATGCTAAGCAACACTTTTACTTATTTATGACCTAAAATAAAGATTGCAATGAGAGCAGAAAAATCCACCTGTAAATCCATCCGGCTGAGAGCCTGAATGAACAGATGCAGGGCCGTGATGCAAAACTCCTCCACTAGAGGGCAGACCAACTGAATCCTCAAGGTGGCTGGAAACCTGTAAAGCAGTTGTTTCTGTTAGTGCTGGCTTCAAAGCAGAATAATAAGTGATGTGGGCAGCATGACCCCCTCGGTGACCTGTGTATAGCATTTTAACTCTCTTCCTGAATCTCACCAGTCCTTGCAGACGACTGGCCAATCCGAGAGCTGCACTGTTGAAGCCCGGTGCGATCCCTAACCCAGCCGACAACAGGCTGTGCATTTCAGCAAGTCCCGGCCCTCCCTGTCCGCTGGCGTGCCGCTGAAGGACATTGATGGCTTCGTCCAGACGGTCCTCCAGTTTACTCTGCTGGGGAGCGGGGAGAAGGGTAACACATGTAAGATTAAGCGTCTTATATGTAATCGCGCCCTGTTTTTACGTTAAACGTCACACAAAGTGGCTCACCATGGACTGAATTCCTCCCTCAAAGTTGGGTGACGGGGTGGCCTGGCCTGAGGACCGAGTCCACTGTGATGCAGAACCTTGAAAAAGAAAAACAAAAAATGGTAAGAAGGTTCATTCCTATAGATCAGACAAGTGTCTACAAGACAGGGAGGAGATTTATTAATGGAACGATTTGCTGTTAAAGTTCAGAAGCAAGGAAAGGCAATTTTATCTTTACAGGACGTTTTCAGCAACAATGAAATTCGCAGTGTTTCATATGATTAGAAGGAAAATGAAACAACAAACAAGCAGGAAGCATTACACTGCAGAGGCAAAGTAAGGGAAACAATAACAGGTTAAAATTTTATGACGTCCCAAATGTTATTAATCAATGTGGCTCTAAACAAATTCATCTTTAGCTCTGAGGACTCGTGCAATGATAGGGATTTTTAGATTTGAAGTGCATGATGAAAATAAATGAAGCGATTTGATCAAGATGATGTTGAGAGCCACAACAAATTTCCAGAGCTCTCAGTCAATTTATCTAATTTTGTGCAAATGCAAAAAGGCTATGATTAATCTTTGACAGATATTTCTATAGTGATCATCAATGACAGGAAAGAAGAAAATAATGATAAAGGAAGAAAGGAGCTAAATGAAAAAGATAAAGTAAGGACAGAAGGAGGAAAACAATGGATAAAGCAGTGATAAAAATAAGTAAGAAAAAACAGAAACTAAGATAGAAAAAGAAGGAAATAGTGAAATGAACCAAGGATAAAATTAAAGGGGATAAATAGCAGACAAATGGATGAATGGAGACAACTTTTAAACAGGAGGTATGGGAATAAAGTCTTGAAACACAAGATCTTCCCATACTCTACTTTTTCTATCTTTACCCAGTATAATAAAAAAAAAAAAGCATGAGTCATGTTCCACGTTTTTCCACATTGTGTAAAAACCCTGAAATGTGCTCATGCACACAATAAGCAGAAGTTTTATACTCGATCAGACTAAGGAGAGCCGGCCGGTTTTACATTTTACAGTCTGCGACTTTTACCTAAAGCATCACTCAAAGAGCGAGCGTAGAAATCAGGACTATGTCAGTCAACCTGAAGAAACGGGCAGAAACGTCGTGACAGTCGTTTGCAGATGTGCTGCGTGAGCTCTTGTTCAGAGGCGGAAAGAAACAGACGAAGTTCGGGCCAGCAGTTATGAAAACTGAAGAAAGCAAAAGCGCGTAATCGGCCCTCAGACGTCCCAGATTGTGGCAGGTAGCCATCGGCTCAGAACGTCCAGACACCGCCAGGACCCTGGTACACCCACCTACAGTCTGGAGACGTCTGGTCGCACAAGCCAGAAAACATTCTTCTGACGTGGAAACAAAGCCAAGCTGACAGTGGGTGCTTTGGTCTAGCAAGTCAAAAAAAACAAAAAACAAAACTGAAACGCTCGCCTTGAACAGAAGGCCGTTTTGATTGACTACTGTCTGAAACAACAATGCAGCACTGAGGAGTGCATTGGCAAAGGCAGATTCGGTGAGGCCGTTTCCAAATTTGTCAACGTGCAGATTGAAAACGATCCAAACGGGGATTACAAACTGTGATTTCAGCCACCAGAAGAACAAAAGGTCGAGCTACAGATGGTATGAAAAGCATAAAGCTCTTATTACGGGATTACACGCGGAAACTGTCGAAATCTACGGATGAACTGCGGCAAACTCCTCCAAGATGCCAAAAAATAAATACATAAACTGCTTCCCAACACGTTTTGAAAACCGAGCAAGGAAAACAACCATTTCAGAGAAGTTCTCACTTATTGCCGTTATTGTTACCAAGTGATTCGATTTTGCAGTATGGCACTTTTTGTTATTAATAATAATAATAATTAAAAAAAAAGAAATTCAACACATCAATTTCCAGAAGCCACCCCAACACTTAATGGTTATTTTTGTAAATCTAAAACACATTGTAAATACGACTTTGTGTTTTTCAGGCAATAGTTCAAATTATTTTCTTAACTTTTGCATCGTTTCAGTACTTTATACACACAGGGTGTCATGAGTTAATGCTTGGATTGATTGAAGAGAAAAAAAGGGAAGTGACCCCACCTTGTTTTCATTTTTACTGTATTTTCCCTTCCTCTCTCGTAAGCTATATCAGGCTGGTGAGCGTACATGAAAGTTACACTGTGGGTGGAGTGACTTTAAATAAACATGAAATCAAGAGAAATGCCGCTTTTCTGCTGTAAAAGTAGTTTTTTTTTTTTTTTTTTTGAAAAAATTTGAATAAAGAGGGGAATTTTTTTTTTTTTTTAAAAAAAAAAAAAAAAAAAAAGATTTTACTACTTTGCTATTTTCATCTTATTTATTCACATTAAATAAATCTCCAATATCTGATAAGATGATTTGTTTCAGTAGTAGTTTTTGTTGCACAGTTGCTAAGTTCAGACTTTACTTATAAGCTTCTAACTTTGCACATGGTTGATGTATTAGATACATTTGGAACAGCATTTTACTGTCGCACAAACGCAAAACTTTAACTTGACATGTTTTCAGTCCGTTTTGCACCCAACATGTGGAGCTTCTTCTTCAGATTGCACGTTTTCCACTCACCTGACACAGCCTGTGGTGAACCGGAGGGAGTAGACGGCGACGGAGGGAAAGCGTTACTGTTTGGGTCTGAAGGATAAATCTGAACAAAGAAGTTCTGATTTTCACTCAAAATAAAAATGTGTATTACTTCCATTTATATTGCCTCAGAAAACGACAAATAATCTGTAGAGTCCTGTGTCACTAACAGTGTTACTTGATTATAAATATGTACTCTACAGCTACTTACTGATGCCAGGGCTTTTCCAATCTCGTCACCCGAACTTCCTGGTACAGCACCCCGATTTGCTTCGTAAATAAAAGCAGAAGATATTAATTGGTTTCGGTGTACAGCGTCTTGCAAAAGTATTCATACCTGTTGAACTTTTCCCACATTTTGTCATATTCTAACCACAGACTTTCATGTATTTTGTGGGAATTTTAGGTTGTAGTAGTGTGAAAATACGGCACAACCGTGAAGCGGATGGGGAAAAAAAGAACATGTAATTTGCTTTTGTTGTCCTTTTGTGGTTTAGCAATTAAAACCTTATAAAAGTGTGGCATGCAAATGTATTTAAATGCTTTAGAAAATGTTTTAGTCACTTTTTTTCTACATCTAGAAGCTGACATTTTCCTCTATCCTTCTTTGCATAATAGAACACGGTCAATTAGAATGGATGTAGAGCTCAAGTGGATTTAGGTCTGGATTTTGACTAGGCCACTCTAACGCTCGAACATGTTTCATTTTAAACCGTTTTCATCACAGCTCAGACATTTTAGGGTCGTTATCCTGCTGAAGGAGCCTCAGGTCTTTTTCAACCTTTAATCCCTGTTAAAAAAAAAAAAAAAAAAAAAAAAAAACATCTCCCTCTGTGGCCAGATTTTGTAGAGGAGCTGGATTAATCAGCCTACTTGTGCTTTTCTCTTTGTATGTGTGTATCCTGTTTTGATTTGTCTTTCTGTCCATCTGTGTCCTAAATAACACACATGTACGGTATATACTACTGTGCACAAGTGATTTTTGTTTTGATTTTCTTCTTGTTCTCCCATACTGTCCTTAGTTGGTATATACTTTATTTTTATGAATAAGAAAAAAAAACGACGGCATATGATCAGAGTACATTTCTGCTCTTTGGGTTGCAGACTGAAAAAACAAAAATGAAAGAAGAGCATCTCCACAGCATGATTCCGCCACCACCGTGTGATGTGAAAGGAGCTTAAAAAACTTGAGACTGGAATGTAAAGTAAAACGCTACTGTCCCTCCCCCACTTGTTGCTGTAAACCGCAAGACAATTTTTCAGCTGAAATTGAAATGAAAGGTGGTTTATTCAAATTACACTTCAAAGTTACGCATTATTTTGTGTTGGCCAATCAGAAAATCTAAATAAATTACTTCAAATCTTCCAGTCGTAATGTTATAAAATGTAAAAAGAATCAAGGGTTCTGACACTTAATTTGGTACCTATATAAATATATTAAAAACAAAATTACTCTGACATTTGAAGCTGAAATGGCACACAAATGACTTACCCATAATCGTTTCAGTGCCAGCGATGGGGGGTGTGTGGCTGGGGACTCCGAAGCTGCTGGAGCCTGCGTGGAAGCTGGTGGGATGAGCTCCGTTCACTTCGCTGCCATGCAGGGGGTAGTTCTGGGGTGAGAGGGGAAGGGGATGCCGCTTCTTAAAAGAGAACATCACATACAGCGTTAAGGACGCAGAAGCTTTAGTGGAGAAAAGAAATTTAACAAAAATTAAGGAGGGGGAAAAAAGAAAACTGAACACACCATTCTGTCTTGAGGGTTTATGGCAGTGAATGGACCGTGCTGGCCCAGATGGGGGGAGTTCCCCAACACGGCAGAGTATCCAGGCTGAATCATCGACCCGGCAGAGCCCCAAGGATCAGAGGGCGGGTGGGCATCTGTCAGGGGGAATCCAGCAGAGAAACATGGAAAATAAGGCAGAGCCACAACCAGACGCAGGAGAGAAGACAATGAAGGCCACATATGAGCCGTGTCATATCAGCGTGATGACTGTATTCAACCGTGATTCACCGTTTGACCCGCGGGGCTGTCGGTAGCCTACAACCACAGCACCTACGGCTCATCTGGACAATATCACAGTAAAGGAACCGACTCTCCCAGCTGTGCTGGCTTCAAAGGAAAATTCCAGGAAATTGTCGTCTTTGCCAGACTAAACTTTTCATCTAAACACAAAGAACTAGGAGAGACTCCAGAGGAAAATATTGTTTCAACTGACCTTGCATGTAGTACGCTGGTTGGTAGACATTTCCTGCTTTGGAGGCTGGGAAGCAAGTGGTGTCCCGATTAAAATCCTCTCCTGTGGCTGTGGGGTAAACCTACAAATAGAAAAGTGAAATGATGACCAAGTCTGACAGAGTGAGCTCGAACCACATGTTTCCATACGCTGTACAAATAGACAAATTACCCCAAATGATCAGACTAATGTTTCTCTCTTTTAGATTGCCCAAATAATTTATATCTGCTGAATGCCAGAGTAATTTCTACAAATCCAACAGCTTTCTTACATTTTTTCCTAATATGTACCAGAATTTCCTTTGAGCTGTTTAACTTGGTTCAAACTGTTTTGGTCTCCTTTCACAAGCTCATATCAACGACTTGCTGGAATTTTGTCCCGTTCCTCCTGACAGAACCGGTGTCACTCAGTAAAGGAGCCTTTCTACGCTATTATTTTCTTTCCTCAAGATGCCATCTATTTTATGAAGTGCACCAGTTCCTCCTGTCGCAGGCCACCCCACAGCACGACGCTGCCACCACCATACTTCACAGTTGGGATGGTGTTCCCAGGCTTATTGACCCTTTTCATCCAAATGTAATGATGGTCATGATGGTCAAACGGCTCCACTTTAGTTTCATCAGACAGTAAAACTCGAAAAAATGAATGTTTTTGTCCTTTAGTGCATTTTTAAACCGTAACCTTGCTTTTTGTGTTGCTTTTGGAGCAATGGCTTTTTTCTCTCTGCGTTGCCTTTCAGCGATGTTGGTAAACAGAATGTGTTTCGCTGTGGATAGTGACACTGTCTCACCATCTTCAGCCAGCGTTTTCATAGGGTCAGCCCCTTTGTTCTAAGGATGATTCACAGATTTCAGACCAAAACTCATTCTCTTCTGGGACGGGAACAGTCATCTCATCACTGAGATGACTGTTCATTCAAAAGGCATTTAGACTTATTTGTGATTATTTGAATGGACTGCACTTTCACATATTTGGGAATTGTAACTAAGAATGAACCAGACTTGTGCAGTTTCACTATTCCCTTTTTCAACTTGGCTGATTTTTTTTATTTTATTTTATTAATCCTTGATGTCACACAAGGTACCCGTGTTTTCGAGGTGTTCATTTAACTCAAATGTCGTGAATGAACATGTCAGAAGCTTACAAAACTATTATGTTATCATCTGGGTTTTCCCTGATTGCTTAAAGGGAGAATAATATCAGTTCTCTCTTTAAGAAAACCATTTTAAAAAAAATAGCAAATATAAGTAATTTTGGTCATCCTAACTATATAATTCATTATTAGATAGTATAAAAAGTATTTTCGATATCGTGTAATATTGTTACAAAAGAAATACACTTTTTTGAGTTTGCATAAAATCTTTTTCGTAAAGCTTTTACTACAACACGCTTAGCTCCGTGTACGATCGAAATCTATTTCCTTTTGAAGCTGAAGTGCTACTCAGGCTAACATGGATTTTACTATCTGGATGAAATGACGTTTCTTTAGATTTGAAACTAAAGATGAGACAGTATGAAATGTAAAGAGCCAGACTCCTTTTCGAGCCCATAAACATATTTCAGTGTATTACGCTGTTAAAACACAGGCATGGAGTTCAATCTCCTTAACAAACAAAGTTTCGACCAATCAAATGCAATCTTCATATTGAGGTGGGAATAAAGAAGCCACTGTTCTGTACCACCTCCGTCCAAAATGAGAAAATCAAGAAACCAAGTATGTCTGTAAAACTCTGATCATAGTAGGTCTGAAGTTTTCTTCTGTAATTTGATTAAACAGAGAAAAAAGGAAGAGGAAAAGAGAATGAAGAGGAGAAGAGGGAACAGGGAGATGCACTCCTAATTACTGAACCATCTGCCGAATCCTGGACAGCAGCCAACTCCGCTGGCAGCTGGGATGGAGGGATGGGGGAGGGCTGTTGTTTATGGTTGTAGAAGAGGAGAGAGAGCGAGGCTGTGCGAGGTGGGGCAGCGAGCAAGAAAAAAAAAATGAGGAAACAGGGTGTCCATAGAGGGAAACATTGAGGGAGGGAAAGAAAGAGAGGGACCAAAAACCATCAACCCCCTCCAGCACAAAATCTCCTCGGCGATTTGATGAGTACACTTGGCAGAGAGGACGAAGTGTGGCCACAAAGCCAAGGGCCCACAAGTACAACATACTATAAATATATGCTGCAAATAAGTGACTGGGTGAATAAGTGGCTTGCCCCCACTGTTGCCTTTTGACTTTGCTGCTGAAGAAGCACAGATGTTCGACCTAAAAGGCCCGCGCCGCTCCTATTATACCGCTCGAGATCCAGAGGAAGGGCTCCAGATGCAAAACTAAACGGGAACATTTTCGTTAGGCTTAAAAACTGAAACTTTTGGGATACATGGAATCAACGTTACAGACCGAGGTGTAGCACAGGGGGAAGGTTTTCTGGAGGTGTCTACTTACTGAGGAGGGCAGGCCAGGAGGAACCTTGCGGATCTTTTTTGGCTGCGGATTTGCTGGGAAAAAGACAGAAAGGAAACCTCATAAAAATGAAAAGATTGATATCTAAAGACAAAGCCACTACACAATACGTAATAAAGGTTTTCCTTTTAGACCTATCAGCCTTTGTGCAGCCTCATAATTCCTGCACAACCAGAAAAAAGTTCTGTGTATTTCTGTGTACTGAGAAGGAGGTAATGCTACTTTCTCCACCGAATAAGAAGGAAGAACTCGAAACCACGTTTTAACACTTACAATAGAAGTGGTGGAACCCACAGATGTAAATATAGATCAGAACGGAGACATCATTTGTAAAACAAAAACCAGAGGAGACAAACGTACGTCTGATGAAAAGAAAAAAAAAAATGCACATGCCTTCATTCTTACCAGTGAGGTCCTGTGCGGGTCTCTTCCTCTCATAGGATGAATAAAACTGGGAATTGGACTTGGCAGAAGGCGGAGAGAGGCTGTCAGGACTGGGCAGGGGTATCTCACTTGGCATAAAACCAGGCTACAGACGGTTTAAAGAGAAGAGAGGCAAAAGCCCGTTCAAACAGCAGTATGAACATGTAGAGAAAATTAAGGTTATCATTGATATGTATCTGTCTTAAAAATAACCTGTTTGTTGTTATAAACTGAGAGCTCAGTTGATTTCTGGACTTAGACGTGAAGGACAGCTTTAATTGTTAGAGTAGATTAGTACTCAGAGATAAAATCAAGACTATATCACAGCAAATTGGAAGGTGAGGAAGTTCTGAGTCTGGTCCAAATGATATTTTTTTTAATCACAGATGCAAAATATATATATTTATTTTTAACATCTTTGGCTTAATTACTGCACTGACTATGTTGCTTTGCAGCAAATTGCCTTTTTTTGAGCCTCTGTATTCCAGTTAACAATTAATCAGTTACTAAATTCTTTGACAACTATTTCAATAATCGTTTAATCACGATTAATCCGATTAATAATTGCAGCCCTATTTGTATCCACAAATCCATTGCGACAGTGGTATGCTTGCATGAATTTATTTTTGTGTTAATCTGCAGGTTTCCCTTTGTCACGTTGTTGCTGGTATGACTTTATTTTCTTTGAAAGACTCACCTGCGTCCCAAATGATGAGTATGACCCTCGTTCAGCTTTCCCTGTTAAAATAAAGAAAAAGATTTGAGGATCGTTAAAAGGCAAATGTTATGTATGTAATCACACTGCCCTGCCATTCATCGCATTTGCAAGGTGAATGTATATGCTGCAGTGTTTAAATGAACCAAATAGACTCATTACAAATGCTCCAGGGGCAATTGTATCCAAACTCTGCCCCCTCCGCTGACAGTTAAACAGAGAAGCGCTATAGTCCACTGTTTTCCCCAGGGAGAGCCCTGTTTGTGCATGGGTGCCCTCCCTTTACACCCCCCACCCCTCCCATAGCGAACACACACAAACAAAGCCCTCCTCCACATCCTCCCCGTTTGCCCTGCTCCCCCTCATCCTGAAACATGCGCTGCCCTAAACTGCCACATGAGTGCCGGACTTGTGAATGGCTGCTCTGAAAAACAAACTGCTTGTTGTTCTGTTCAGTCACACTGTGCATTGATGTACGAGTCTGAGTGCCAGTTAACACATTCCTCCATCACTTAGTCCGACACTGACAATTTTTTTTTTACCAATTTGCAAAAATGAAAAAAAAATAAATAAATAAATTTAAAAAAATAGAAGGGATGATTTGAAAGTGGTGATGTCTGTGCTTCGAGAGCTCAGATTGAATTAAAATCTTCTTACCAGCAATGCCTGGTCCAAATACGGGGGTAGAGGCCAGACTTTCTCTCTCACTGTAAAGGCCCTCTTCGAAAACCTGAGAGAAAGAGACGGAATAACACTTCATTCGTAGTTGCATCAAAAATAAGCAGATGGCATCCTTTGATTTTCAGTTCATCTGCATCAAAATGCAACAACATAATATATTAATTATAAGACTAATTGGATTAATTGGATTCATCGTGATTAATTGATTATTGAAATAATCGTCAACGAATCTAGGACTTGATTAATCGTTAACTGGATTTCACAGACTCAATGAAAGGACATTTGCAGAAGAACATGAAGTCAAATATATATAAACATATTCATTTGCATTAAAGATGTTTTTTAAATCCTTTGTAAATATGTTCCGCCTAGAACTCCTCATGTGGCATAGTTATAGTTTGACAATTTTCAAATTCTGTAAAAAAATAAAATAAAATAAAATACATTTTCTCTCAAGCACCTTTTGATATTTTACAATTCTGAATTGGTTAATGCAAAAATTAATCATTTTGATCAAGCATACACTAAAAGAAGGCTGTGTTATTGCACTGTTGGCAATAAAATGTTTATTTTGTTATTTTAAAAAATGCATTGAATTATTTGTTCATTTGCATATTTTAATATTATTTCTAATATTGTGTAAAAAAAAAAAGGCTTAAGTGGTTAAATGAAACATCTACACAATGTGATAATCTTTTTATGCAATTAATTGTATGAATAATTGGTTACTAAAATAATTGTTAGTTGCGGCCCCGAATTTTACTATTTAACTTTAAGCACGAATGTAATATTACTGCATACTTTCAAAGTCACCTGCTATTATTTTAATAAGTTTTTTTCTATGTTTTCAATCAACATGTAATTGGAAAATAACAAATTACACTCTTGTTTAAGCCCAGGAAGGCAGGTCACAACCCAGCATTAATCATCGGCAGCACTGGTAATGCATAAGTGGTCAAATCTAGAGCACTTCATAATGTTGCAGTCTGTGTGTAAAAGAGGTATAAAGCAATAAATCACGCAACACGTGAAGAATAACACAACATCTGCTGCACTCTACGGCCGAGGCTAAAATAAATCATACCCTTCCCTGGTTGAAAGATGGACTAGTCTGCTCCCCTGGTCCCCACGGACTGGACCCTCTCCTCTCATCTACACCTGTTGGGACAAAAAAAAAAAACTCCGTCAGCCAAAAGGTAATAGCATTATGATCACAGATTTATGTCCCCGTCTTGCAACAAATGTGTCACTTGAAAAAGTGACGACTTGCTTTGATACAGGTTTTTCAGGCTCCTTAATGCAACCTACATTGAGAAACTTCAAAGCTCACAGAGCGAGACAGCACTGTGACGGCGCTGTCACATAGTCTGGATTTGAGCTGTAGGAAGTTTGAATAATTAACACCCAGTACGAGGCTTCCAGAATCATCCTCGACATTCCTCGGTCTCCCACACTCCACTCCTTTACGCTTTTTCCATGGCAACACTCATTCATAGCCCATTTGTTCCCACACGCTTAGGCCCACACCTTCACCTTAGCGCGAGGCTCACCGTCCAAACTCACACGGCTGGCATGTGCCATCGCGGGCCGGAGCAGCTTTAAGGAAGGGATGTTAAAGATTTGTGGAGCAGAAATCTCTGCCCAATCCCCTCGCTCTCAAATCTCCTCTCGTACTGCAACACAGCATCTCTTGGGGAAATCTGAAGTTTAATTGCACTCGTATTTGCATAATTGTGCATATTAATGAGGCTGAGCCCTATGAATATTCATATTTTTGTTTTGTTGTCTAATTAAAAAGCTAAGGGGGGAAGGGGGGTGCGAGAATCCTGACAGGATCAGCAGTAGAACAGAATAATGGCTCCATAGTGCCAAAAGCAGCTAGATTGCAGTGACAAGTGTGAGCTACACGACACCAGCGGAATAAGAGATGAAGGAGGCAATTTCACGTCCCCTCTCCATGTCTGACTGCCGCTCTGCCTGTCAATCAAAGCAAAACTTACACGTTAGACATTTTAGCGTGTTGTCATCAGCAAGCACCTTCAATCAAAAAAATAAAAAAATAAAAAAAACACCAACAACTTCTGATATGTTTTAGATTTGAAACTTTCTCTGCTTGAGTTAAACACATAAACAGCAACCAGATGGAAGTAAATATCGTTCTACTCATCGGGCGTTCTACTGTCGGCATCAACATCGGCCGATACCGATGTCGATGCCGATACTTTGTGCATCCCCAACAACCCAAGATCCATCAACAACAAGCAACAGTTAGATACAATTCAATTCATTCGCCAACCAAGATTTACTCTAATCCTAGTTTTTGACTCAATAAAATACAATCTGACGCTATTTACCATAATACATCAAGATGAACCAAGTGGATAGCGCTTTTTGATTGTTTGAGAGCAAAGTTTATTAAAAAAATAAAAACTTCTTTAGCAAGTAGACTTGTGTCATAATTCTACAATAACCCCAATTTCAGTATGGAAATTTTAACTACTCAGCATTAGGCGGGTTAGATTAACAACAAAAACACTTGTTAAAATCGTAAAGAAGTGTGTTTACATCTGCTCATACTTGTGAATGGTTTCACTCAGAGACATTTAAAGGAGGGTGTAACTGTGAAATAACAATTCAGATAGTAAAATTACTTAACACTACAGGGACAATTTGAAAAAAAAGAGACTAAAATAATCCAACAATAATGGCAGAACATTTTGCTGCCGATTAGGATAGTGGACATTAAAAACTGCATGTTTTTTTAAAGCGTGTTTAATTCAAATCACAGACAATGAGACATTTAGTCAGGAACATGTTGATCTACATTATCACGATGAGCCACTGGACTCATTATAAAACCCTAGAGTCAGTCACAGCTACAATTTTTATTTGAACAAATCAGATTATAGTCCAAGGTTTCGTCCAAAAACTGCAGCTACTCTTGGCTTCTTTGCAGTTACACTTGCGCTGTGCATACTGCTGAATGAATCTCAGTCTGCTGAACCTAAAAAATGTTCCTACACTTTTCACCAAATCTTTCCACATCAAGATTTCTTACAATGCTTCAATTCATTTAGTTTAATGAGTGAATATTGATTCCTACAGCAGCTACAGCAGACCATACTGCTGATTGCTAGTGAAGCATGACACTAATATTGATTTCGAACATACTAAGTTTCATTAGTCCTACAGAACGCCATGCCAAAATCACAAATATCAGCTCAGACAGGCTACAATATCTATAAGCAGGAAAAGGAATAAGAGGATGAGTAACAGAAAAATTCTCCCGAGAACCCCAATGCACTTTTCCTCCCAGCATGCAACACCCCTTTAAGGTTGGCTGGTCTATAATTACACAGCACAGACAGAGCTATCGGAAACAGACAGACAGCCTGAGTCACCGACTTTGTGAGCGAAACGCAGGCAGATATATTGACCAAACATGCAGGCATGTCTTGGTTTTTACTGGAACGCTGCCCCAGGCCAACTACAACCGAGCGGTCCGTTTGTCTGCGCGACTTCTTCTTTTCCCTGGAAAAGTGAGTCACGCAGACACAAAGCGTGATGTCAGATACGATCTCAAGAGAGAAAACACTGTTAATGAAATAATGAACAATGTACAATGACACAGGGCTGACTCTTTAAACCTGTTAGTCACAGGAGACTTCCTAAGTGCAGGACAATGTGACATACTATCCTTTAAACGCACGCAGCTTACATTCGACTGTTCTCCAGCGATAGTTTGGATCTTTTTTTTTTTTTTTTTTTACAATTTTTACAATAATAAGCAGTGGATCGTCAGACTTTACACAACAGACCTTCATGTAACTTTCCCACCTGAGTTTTTCAAATTCAGTTTCACATCTGCTTGAAACAAGGAACCTTTTCATGCAAATTTATATCACAAGCCAGTCAGAATTTCTACCCATACCACCCTAAAAATACACGTTAGGAGTCTCGGTTTCTTGTGAACTAAAAAAATGAAAGCACACGCAAAAAAAAAAAAAAAAGAAAAAGAAAAACAGTGGACTGGATTGAACAGATATGATAATCACTGACAGCTCAGAACAAGAGCACAAAAACACATGGTAAAGTTTCACATTTAAACCATATGAATTGTGAGGGGGGAAAAAACATGTAAATGACTACTTTAGAGCCATATGGAAACTTTTAAACCCATCAGGTGTCTCTCATGGTGCCATGTGGGCAGGTATGAGACTAATGAGGAATGATGATGACCTCACGTAGGACAGTTTCATGGCATCACCACACAGTAAAGCCCCAAAATATTCATAACTCTGGCCCATATCCAACTTTTTTCCAATCAAGAAGGAAATTAGACATTCATCTCATAATAAATAATAAAACAATGTAGAATCAGTTTAGAAAAATTAATGAATCTGTTTTTAATTTAGATTTTATTTTTTTAAACTTTCATGTTAAAAATTACTTTACTTTTCTCAAATGTTTGTGGTTTTGAAAGGGTAACTTAAAAAAAAAAATCCTTGGCATACCTTGGCAGCAGTAACCAGCCCACGCTTAACTCAGTATGTGTGTAAGACTAATGACTGTTACATAATTACTCATCAGGAATCAAGAGTTTGGAGCTTTGATATTAGACATCAAACAGCACAGCTCATTTCAATGCCAGGGGTGTGTGCCTAGGGTGTCTGGATTTCCGCTGAGCCTCTTATATCCTCTGCTAAAACAACTCCCTAATTTGAGCTAAGTAGCTAAAAGTCGCTTCATAATTTTCTTTTGTTGGGTGCATTTACTTATTTCATTGCTGCAAAAGGTCCAACTCTGAGGTAAGCACTAAAAATAAACAAGTTGTTCAAACTCTTGAACAAGAGTCTTAGGAATACCTGCTAAGCTCAGTTCAGGCATTTCAGATGCAGAAATGAGGAGCGACCTGTTCGAATAGCTCAAAGAGCCCTGGTACGGTTCCTGTGGGCCGTAGGTGCCTCATGAGAAGCCGTTAGGATTGATAACATCTACATGCCTCGTTTGTAAGAGCGCGCCCGATCCTTACAGAAGAACAACACAAGTGGCTTTCTTGTGAGTAGATGAAACAGAGCCCCTGATAACCCCACCCAGCAACCGAACGTGTCGTCTTTGATCTTCCCCTTGAATATCGCGTTGCTCTCTGATGCTTGTTGAAAGACTTAATGCACCTCCAAAAAACACAATGGTAGCAGAGAACTTTGTTTTGTCTGCGACTATTGGGTCTGGTAGAGCAGGGAAACGGCGCCTGGGGTCGGCATATAAAACTCCAGCAGACATACAAAAGCACCACCATCCGATTTTTGGAGTGTCCTGGTTATTATTTGACAACATTGACGTTGCATGCATGCTTTAAACGCTAATATGAGGGTTGGATTTGTGCATCTGATGATGAATTCTCAATTTATGAAAACTAAAACAAGGAAACGGGAACCATGTATTATTCTATTACAACTGGAAAGAAAGCAAGAGAGTAAAAATGAGGTAGTGAGACTGGAGATGGGCTCTAATAGATTTATTTTTAGAAAGTCACAGAAGCATTACCAAGCAATACGGCCACTGACTACAGGTGAAGGAAAGGCAAACAAACCGTCTCTTTTGTGTATTATCTCTTACCGGGACCTCCAAACTGGCTGCTGGCGAGAGTAGTCGGCCCATTCTTTCCATTCGAAACTGGAGGTTCAAACATCTGAAAGGAGAGCAATAAATCTGTAAAAACCACGGCAAGGCAATAAAACATTTGAATGTTCCCTCGACGTTTATGCAAACGTTGATCAGAGCGTAATCCAAACTGTCCTACGTGCTTTTGCGAACAACTGCAATAAACACAGGGCAACCCGAGTCTTTCAGCTATGATTTGTGACAAAACAATAAATAAATAAGTTGAGCCAAGACAAACAGAGCTTTATATATATAAAAAAAAAAAAAAAGCATGGCTGCTTAAACACATTTCTTCCTCATTGAGAATGAATCTCATTCATTCCCATTTCGAGGTACTCGTCACCAGGTTTGGTGCTTATTGTTAAAATGAAATGGATTACGAAGGCAACAATGAGGCTTAGCAGGGGCCTTACCGCACTAAAATCCAGCAAGTCGCTCAGCTCCTTGTCGTTTTCCACTGTAGCCATTCTCTGATGCTGTTCACTGGGCCTTTACAGTCTCAGCTACAGACTACAAGGACAAGCACAAACAACACGACGTCATTTTGCGTCAGTAACTCGATACTGATTACATTAAATGCATTGATTAAGATTACCGTTTTCTGCACTGTGTATTTTAGTGTAGAGAGCTGTGTAAACGCTGCATTCCTCCTTCAAAACATCAGCCATGCTGACAACAGCAAATGTCGTTTAATCTTTACATGGAATGTTAAAATCGAGCTTCGTTAGAAGAAAGATGAACAACGCCCGATTATTTGCTATCACTAATTCCCAAAGAGGATCGAATTCTCCCTGTGCCGCGCAGCTGGAAATGCTAAAGGTGGATCGCCAAAAAAAAAAAAAAAAAAAAAAAAAAAAAATAAATTTTTTTAAAGAAACTTGGTTTCAAACCG